GTCCCAGCCAGAGCGGAGCTGGTGAGGGCAGAGCCAAGGGTGTGGGGGCCGCAGGGCCCAGGCGGCAACCCACTCAGTGCTCTACAGGAATGAGGTCCAGGATGAAGACAAAGGTCCCTCACACCACTGTCACAGCAAGTGTCCCCCACGGCATGTGCCTGGGCCCCACAGGGTCCCCCAGCCGGGCACCCCGGGGGGGCAGGCACACTGCCTCCTCTGTCTAACGAGGAGTGGCTGGTGACTTGGCTGCACAGCCCAGCGTGTGAGCCCTGAACAGAGACGGGGCCCTGCCCCCTGGCTTCTGGGGAGGGGCCAGACCAGGAGGCAGTCAGCTGGGGGTTCCAAGAGAGGTGTTGGCCTGGGGTCAAAGGCACTGGTAGGGGCAGGGAGGTTCCTCTTAGGGTCCAGGTGTCCACTCACTGATGGGGACCCAGTCAGAGGGGCGTGGGGGGACTGGTTTGGGGAGACTGGGGTGGACCCAGCAGATCTAAGCCCCTTATCTGGCCCCCCCATACTCTCCACACTTTCCCCCTGGCTGACTCAGTGGGGCCTTTGGGGCGTGGGGGCCTCAGCCACCCTTGCTGGCCACCTTGTGCTCCGTGTTCAGGTCCCTCCAGTGCTTAAGAGTCCTGGGCCGGTACGTGCCTGACGTGGCCAGGTGTGGGAGGTGCGGCTTGCAGCGGCTACCTGCAGTCCTCAGCTATGTCCCACAGTGGCCCCACCTGGCCACACAGCTCCTGAGTCAGTGGCCATCTGAATCGTGGATGCCCACAGGTGGTCACGGGTGACGCTGTCCCAGGACCCCAAGAAGGGAGAGTGAGTGTGTGGGGCACCTGGAGGTCGGGCAGTCTCCAGCCCTCTCACACGGCAGACAGGTCCACTCGGTGGGTGGACAGGCTGCTCTTGTCCCAGGGGCTGAGCTTCGAGGAGGCTGTAGCCGGCCGAACCCCATTCATCTGAAAATGGTAGAGGGGCAGGGTAAGGGCAGCACTCTGAGGTCAGAGCCCAGGAAGGGACGAGGGGTGCTTCCTGCAAGCAAAGTCTCCCCTCGTCCCATTTCCTGCTTCTGCTCCTGCTCTGGGTGCAGACACCTGCCCCTGTGTGGTCTGCCATAATTCACTCATCCGTCCATCCATCCATCCATCCATCCATCCGTCTGTCTGCCCACCCATTCATCTGTCTATCCTTTCATCCGTCCATCCATCTGGTCATTCACTCATTCATTTTTCTACCTAACTGCTCATCCTACCCGTCCCCCATCTGTCCACTGGATGGATGAGCATCCATATGTTCATCCATCGAACCATCTCTATCAATGTGCTCATTCCACTACCCAGCTGGTCACACCTTGCCAATCATTCGTCAGTGACCCCTCTGCTAATTAACCCCTCCTCCATCTGACCACCCACTCCTGGAGAGATCCATGGGGTCATTCGTCCGTCCCCTGCCCATCAAGGCCCTCACTATCCAGGGGCCGTGCCCCGTTCTCTCACCGCCCAGCTGCTCACTCATGCATGCGTGTGTTCCTTCCTGGGCTCATCTTTCCATCCGCCCATGACCTCTCTCACACCCTGCGCTGAGCTCTGTCATGGGCCCCGGGGTTAGTGGGACCAAAGCCTGCAGAGCCTGGATCCCTCAGCCTCTCGTTCCAGTGGGGGGGAGTGGCTGGGGGGAGGGGATGCGGGAGGGTGGGTGCCCTTCAGTGCGGGGCAGGAAGGCTTCCTGAGGGGCCACAAGAGGACCTGAGAGGCACATCAGAGGCAGCCCTGCAGGAAGAGCGTGTGACTCCCAAGGGGCTCTGCCTGGCCTGGAGGACAGGAGGGAGAGGCAGGGAGGGAACTTGATTTCTCAGGTGTCGGTGATGGGAGGACACATCTCCTGAGCCAGGGCTGTGCTGGGACTTCTGGGTCCCCCATGGTCTCCACCTCCTGGTCAGCACCAGAGACTCTGCCCCTGGGGATGTGCCGCGGGTGGTCCCAGCCCTGCGCACATGAAGACTTCAGGCATGCGTCAGCGTGAAGCACAGACCAGACCTGCCAGCTCCCAAAGCCACTTCCATCCTGCCCTCAGGCACTAGCCCTGCCCCGTGAGGCGGGGGGGTCCACCCACAGGACGCAGGGTGCAGGAGGGAGGAGCCACTCACGTTGTCTGAGCTGGAGGGCTTCATGTGGGTGCTGCGGGTGGAGCTGCCAGACAGGGACCAGATCTTGGTTTTGTGCTTGAAGGCCGCTCGTACCTTTGAGAGAAGGCTGCAGCTCAGCTCCCAAGGGCCAGTCGTAACCTCAGTGGGCAGCACCGCCCACCCTGTGGTGACCCCAGCCTCCGAGTTCCGAGCTTGGGCCCGAGGTGAGAGGTTGGCCTGTAACGCTCTTGCGGCTTCCTCCGGGCTGATGGTCTAGAAGGTGGGGGCCGGGTGCTTTCCCCCTGAGATTGCTCAGCACTACGCGACACACCCTCCCCCGCAGATGGGTGGCAGCTGGGGTTGAGCTGAGCTGGCCAGGAATGGGGCCAAAGTCTCCCCTATTCTGCCCCCAAAGGGAGGGGCTGTGAGCCCAGGCCTGGACCACTGGCTGGCCGGCGCTGGCTCGTGTGGCAGAAATGGCTGTTCTGGGGTGACGGGGTGCAGCCATCAGCAACAGCAAGGGTGGCAGGGCGAGGTGACAGGCCCAGAGCAAGGACCAGGTGGGACTAGGCACCCTGCTGAGCATGGACTACCCTCGTGGGCTGCAGCCCTGCCTGCCTGCCCCACCTCCCATCTGGCCTGGCACCTATGTATAGACTGACAGTCCTCATGGTCCTCTGTCCAGCATCCGTTCCCCCATGGCCCTGCTGCCAGGCTGTAGGACACGGGCCGTGCCCAGCAGCCCCGCACACACGGGTGAGTTGAGCTGTCCGCGCTTCCTCCTTGGTAGCTGCCCCGCCCTGCAGACAAACTCACAGGTCCAGCTGCTCTACAAGCGCCTGCACCTCGGTGTGAAGTCAGACAAAGACAGGACCTGTCCCCTGGTGTCCGCAGGGCACAGGCCACGGCAGCCAGACGCTGCAAATAGCCACGTGGCCACCCACAGACAGATGGTTGACCACACAACATCTGTGTGGCCCAGCACCCCCCTCCTCAGTCTCCCCAGGGTTAGAGAGGTATGGGCCACAGCAGCCAGATGCTGCAAACAGCCACGTGGCCATGCACAGGTGTGGCAGGGGCACAAGACAGGTTAGTGTGGCCGTGGGACAGACGTCCGGTGCCACCTTAGGACGACCTTGGGAGGCATCCTGCTGGTGCCACCAGTCAGCCCACAAGTCAGGATCCTAGGGGCCGCTAAATGGACACCAGTGATTCTTGGGGAGACCTGGGCAGGGGAGGGAGGGCCTGGCAGCGTGGTGGGTCTGTCAGAGGGTGGGGGTCACATCGCTGACTCACGTGCAGTCACTGTCGTGCATTTACTCACTACAGACACCCTCATGCCACCCAGCGCCCAGAGTCTGCTGGCTCAGATAACAGTGGCCTGTGGCTACCTGCTATCTCCAGCCCTGGGGCTCTGTTACCCACACTGTCCTTGGCCACACACAAGTGTGTCCTCTCCCTTCTCTGCCCATCAGGGCTCCCTGCACTGCTGCCCCCACCCCCCAAGTATTGGGGGCGCCCGCCTGTGCTGGGTGGTCTCAGAGTCATCCCTTCCCTGGGTTGGCCCATATGGTCCTCCAGGCTGGGCAGATCCTGAGTGACCGCACCTTCCCCAGTGCCACGCTGGCCAGAGCACCGGGCACCGGGCCTGCTTCTGCTGCACCTGATAGACAGAGGGCAGCCCATCCGAGGGACCCCTGCTCAGTCCTCCCACCATCTCTGCAGACCAGCCTGTTAATATCCGAGAAGGAGACTGGCCAGACACTGCTCAGCATGGCCCAGTGCCAGAGAGAGCACAGCTAACTCCAGCCAGCCCACGGTAAGCAGGGCCGACTCCAGCCAGCCCACGGTCAGCATGGTCTGATCACTGACACAGCAGAGCTGACTCCAGTCACCCCGAGGTCAGCCATGTGTCTGGCACCCATAGAGTGGCTAACTACAGCCAGTCTGGGGTTACCACAGCCTGATCACTCACACAGCATCGCCAAGTACAACCACACTCACAAAGCATCACTGAATCCAACCACATTCACACTGCACCACGAGTACAACCACCAACACAGCACCACCGAATCCACACTCACACAGCACCACCAAGTACAACCACACTCACACAGCACCACTGAGTACAACCACTCTCACACAGCACCACCGAATCCAACCACACTCACATAGCACCACCAAATCTAACCACACCCACACAGCACCACCAAGGAAAACCATACTCACACAGCACCACTGAATCCAACCACACTCACATAGCACCACTGAATCTAACCACACTCATACATACAGCACCACTGAATCTAACCACACTCATACAGCACCACCGAGCACAACCACACACAGAGCACCACTGAATCCAACCACACTCACACAGCACCACCGAGTACAACCACACACACAGCATCACCACCACACAACCACACTCACACAGCACCACCAAGCATAACTATACTCACACAGCACCACTGAGCACAACCAGACCCACACAGCACCACCAAGTACAACCACACTCACATAGCTGAGCACAACCACACTCACACAACACCACCGAATGCAACCACACTCACACAGCACCACCGAATCCAACCACACCCACACAGCACCACTGAGCACAACCACATTCACATAGCACCACCAAGCACAACCACACTCACACAGCACCACCGGATCCAACCACACCCACACAGCACCACTGAGCACAACCACACCCACACAGCACCACTGAGCACAACCACATTCACATAGCACCACCAAGCACAACCACACTCACACAGCACCACCAAATCCAAACACATCCACACAGCACCACCGGATCCGGATGTCCTTGGTCAGAATGTGCCCAGTGACCATGGCATGTGCTGGTTTGGACAAACACCCCCGCCCGCCTTCCCCCCCTCCCCAGACGGTGTGACTGTACCTCTGAGTTCAGCAGGCAGTGGAACAGGAAGATGAAGAGGCCCTAGGAGAGGAGAACACAGCTCTAGAATATTCCAAAGGCCATTCCCTAGTCTGTGTGGCTCAGGGGCACGAGCCCTCATGGGCCCAGGGGCAGAGAAACTGGGACTTTCGGTTTTGGACCCTGTCACCTGCTCCAGGTGCAGCAGGCAGTGACAGTGTGCACACTGCTCAGAGGACAGGTAGAAGCAGGTGGGAGCCGCAGGCTCACAGGAGGCAGGCAGGGACAGAGACCATATGGTGTCTTGGTGAGCGTGGAGAGGCCTAAGCATCACGCATATTTGGGCTCCAGGGCAGCTTCTCAAGCAAGAGCACCCTGGGTGGGGGAGGAGGGAGCCTCCAGTCGGGAGCACCGGCCCCTGCAGTGTCAATGATACACACAGCCTCCAAGTGGACAGTGCACCATCGGGGGCCTGGCCAACGGGGCAAGGGCAGTGCTCAGGAGGGTTCCCCTCCCGCCTCGGGGCTGGGCCTCAGCACCACAAGCCTCTGGTCTCTCCAAGAAGTTCCTTCCCCCACCACCCATATACCAGGGCCTCCCAGCACCTTGCCACCCAGTTCTCCCTGCTGCTTTGCCCTAGCTGGGGAACCCCATGGGCTCAGGGCCCTGGGGAGCCAAGGACACATACCTGTAAGGAGTTGAGGATGGCGAATATGTACTGGAAGAGCAGGGCCTGCTTGTTGACGGCGAGCACCCCGAAGACCCACGAAGTGCCCAGGATCGGCAGGAGCACTGCCACTGCCTTCGCTGTCAGCCTGGGAGAGGGAGGCACGGTGCGCGGAGGTGCGGGGCAGGGGCATGCAGTCAGGGGCACGCTGGGTCACTCCTCTCCGACCCCAGGGACCTCAGACAGTGAGCCCCAACTGTCGCCCAGGTCGGCCAGGGGCTGTGACTCTCAGCGACCCTCTGGGCCCCGCAACGCCACTCGCCACTCAGGAAGGAGACCCTCGGAGTCCTTCAGCCCCGCTGCTCTGACACATGGCAGCTCTGCGAGGACAGGACTGTCGAGAGCACTTGGGGGCTGGGGGCCTGGGGCGTGGCCCCTCTTGTGCCCCCATGGGAGGCCTGCACAGAAGCCAGTCCCTACTTGGGTGGGAGGTGCCTGCGGGTGCTGAGGGGCAGCTGCAGGGCAGGCACAGAGGTGGGGGCACAAAGCACGCTGTTCCCTGGGAGGGAGAGCTGCTGCTGGGGACGGCTGATGCACTGGACCCCCTTGCTGTGCAACATGACCTTGGGTGTTCCGGGGTCAGACAGGAGGGACAGGGGTCCTGGCTGAGGTCCATGGGGTCTCCTGCACCCACTGCCTTGCCCCCAAGGGAAAGGAGAGAGATGGACAGACCCCTGTCCCAGCTCCGGCCCCTGAAAGCCCTCCCCAGCGGTGACAAGCCCCAAGGGCTGTGCCTGAGCACCGGCTTAATACCCTGAGTTTGGAATTCATCAGGAAATAATGGCCTCATCGATTCGGCCGCAGACATATTTACTGTCTGTCCTGACAGACCAGAAGAGACAGACTGTAACTAGTCACTTACATCCTGCCAGCCCGCCTGCCCTTTGGAAACCACTGCACTCTGAATATTTTAGTGAAGCTCTGCTCCCTGGAAATGACCGTCCACGGCAACATTTTCATGGGCCTGCCCGCCCCCCGCCGCAGACCCTCCCTGCTCACCCAGCCCAGCCTTGAGATCCCGGTCCGTGTGCCATCCACAGGCATCCAAGAGGCTGCCCGTGTGTCCTCAGCCTGTGTCCATGCCCCTCTTCACACCCAGCACCCCGGTCATGGTAAGGAGCACTCATGCCCTGGCCTAGTTGTTGGGGTGCCAATGAGGCACCGGGACTCAGGTCCAGGGAACCGGTGGGCTCCCGCACTGTGACGGGGCAGAGGAGGAGCAGTGCTGGGCCAGAGCATCAGGAAGGGAAGGGGCGGCCGGGCACGATGTGGCCCCAGGGCGTGGGTGGACTGTCCTATGTGACTGTCAAGACAGCCCCTTGACACCCGGGGCCTCATGGGTCCCTGGGTGGAGACATCCCTCTTGCCATCGCTGGTGGGCCCTGACGGCCTGACACCCGTCGGTTAGGGAGACAGGAGGAAGGAGCTCTCGTTGCCCCAGGGTAAGGGTGGCAGTCTGCTGCTGATCCCCTGCGGGCAGCCTGGTAGACCCCCCCCTCTACACTGTGCAGCACTAAGGTCAGGCCCAGAGCATGTCCTGGGAGCCGGCACAGGCCATGTCCCTCAGGAGGACCCTCTGGGGGAGGGGAGTGGCTGGCCGCCAGCAAGACCACTCACTTGAAGGCGTTGGGGTCCCCGTGGATCTTGTAGTTGTCGGTGCTGATCTGAGAGATGACACGGGTCACAGCGACCAGGATGCCGATGTTGACCTGCCAGGGCGAAGTCGTAGGAGGCGGTGAGGGGCTGCCTGGCCCCCAACACACAGGCTTCTTCAGAGTTGGCTCCAGGCCCCAGGCATCTGCCTATACGAGCGACAGGAAACCTCCACCACATGCCCACGCTTGCTGAGGGAAAAGGGGCTCTCTCCACAAACGGTTTGAAGCTCCCCCGTACAGTGGTGGGCTGCCTGTTGCTTTGACGCTGGAAGCTAGGCCACGGAAATTTAAAATCCCAGCAGGGTTCCTCACGCAGAGAGGTTTTGGCAGGGCTTCCACGCTCAAGAAAGACGAGGAAGAAAGGTCTGGCTATCTGCCTCTAGGAGCCAGCTAAGGAGAGCCCCAGGGGCCGACAACAGAGTGCGTCTGACACAGGGCTGGAGCACGAGTCCCCGGGGAGACGGCGCTCAGACCACAGGCCTGAGCAGGCAGAGCAGCAGCCGTGAGGGTGGCGCGGGGCTGGGCCACGCGGGTGGTGTGGCGCCTGGGTTGGCACAAGTCTGGACTGACTGAGCCAGGACATGCGAGAGCACACAGCTCTGCTCAGTCTCATCTCGGACGGGCGACAGGCAGCCAAGCACACAGCTCCGTGCGCGAGAGCGCGTCCACAAAAAAACCTACCGCCGCCCGTCCACGCAGACACACGGCAACCCGGTGGGACCCTCACGCCGCACTTCCCAAATCTGTGAGCCTGCACAGGTGCAGGCTGCCTCGTCTTTCTCCGGCCAGGTGGCTGCAGGTTTAAACTGTGGCTTTGAGGTTTAACCCACTACCCCCCAGGGCTTCCTGGATAAGGGACCACGAGAAGCCTGTCAAGCCCTGGCCAGCATTTTTCCTGGCTGTCCCTACCCCCGGGATCTGTGGCTGTGTCACTGCTACAGGTCATTTGGAAGAGGATCAGCACCTCTGTCCCTGCCCCACCTTGTCAGGAACTTGCTAGGAGATTCTCCTTGGGGCCTGGGGGCTTTTAGAGGCTGGATGTGAGCTGCCCTTCGGGGTCCTGACAGACTGCTCCATGTGGTGACTGAACAAGGTGAGCAATCTACCCCCTCGTCCCGCCCACAGTCTCCTGCTGCAGGGTCCCCACCTGGACCCTCGGCCTGAGTGGACATGGGTCCTGCCCACTGTGGGCGGGGCCATGAGCGTGGTCGGGGTGCCCTGTGTCAGGGGCAGCTGTGAGTGTTCAGCCCTCCAAGATGGGGCGCTGGACTGAACCCCGTCAGCCTAGTTGATGCCTGAGCGCCCTAGGCCAGCTGGACCCCTGCTGACACCACTGCCACCAGGCTCCGTTGCCCCCCACCCCCATCCCACACCCCCAGCCAAGGGTCCGCTTTCAGCCTCTCGACTCTGTGTCCACCAGCAGCTGCACTTGTCCCCCAGACCCGGCCCACCAGACCCCATAGTTCTGGGAAAAGAAACCACGCAGGAGGGAAAGGCTGAGGGGTTGATGTGGCCCTGCAATTCTTCCATCTACACACAGACGGCACCGCTCGGCATCTCCGCCACTGCTGCCTGGCCACCCACGTGTGACAGAGGGGACTGCTCCCTCGGTGTTCTCGGCTGCCATCTTTACAGGGGCAGATCACCTGGCCTTTGCTCCATGGCACCGCTCACTGGGGTGGAAGCACCCACCTTTCTGTTAGCAGCCAAGCACAAACCCTGGTCCTTGACACTGGGGTAAGTGCTGCCCTAAAGAATCCGCTGGCAGATGTGAAGCTGCCCCTGTTGGGATGTGAGGCTAACCGGGGGTTGCTTCCCTGAGGCCCAGACTCCCAGGGCTCTCAGGAGAAAAGGAAGCCAGGGGTGCGGCGTGGGGTGGCGCAGACCCCGCTAGGCCCCCACCCCCCAGGGCCCTGCACCTGTTGCCTCAGCTACAAAAGCACGTGGGAGTCAGGCCCCCTGGGCCATGGAGGGTGGGGATGGAGGGGTGTAATCAAGAGCGCCCTCCCCCAGGGTAGGTCCATAGAAGAACCCTCAGAGGCCACAGAGTCCCAGCACACCCACCCTACCCCACCGCCACGTTGCGTTACACGAGCCAGGGACATACTGTGATCACAAACAGGGCAGGGGCCACGAAAGCCCAGATGGCTCCGCTCTCCAGGGACAGCCAGCAGCTGTGGAAGAAGCAGAGGGCAGGTCATTGGACACCCACCACCTCGTCACAGCAAGTTACACTAGGACAGCAATTGATGGTCCCCTACACAGAGACCCATGTGCCTGTGACCCCCTCACTCCTGACCTATACACACACTCCTGAGTCTATGACCCCTTACTCTGTATCACCGCTCTCTCTCTCTCTCTCTCTCTCTCTCTCACACACACACACACACACACACACACACACACACACACACGGCACTAGTGTGTCTGTGAACCCCTCACCCTGGGAAGAAGGGTCTACCATCCCTACAGATGGGCACCCCAGGTGTCAGAGCGAGGGAAGCTCCTTCCTGTTGCTCCAGCTTCTGGGGATGCCACATTCCATGGGGTCCCTGGGCTGTGTACTTCCCTGCAACCTGCCTCCGCCTGCACCTGGTGCCGTCTCTGTGCTGGCCTCCTCTTCTATTGCTTTTGTGCTGCATCATTTTAAGATTTTTTTATTTTGGTGAATGTATGTACAACAAAACGCATGCAATGCATCACCAGCCAGATTGGGTTAGGACCACCTGCTTCGGGATGACCTCATCTTAGCTCATTTCATCTGCAAAGACCCCATTTCTGAAGAAGGTCACTTTCTGAGGTTTCAGGTAGATGGAACTTTGGGGGCACCTTATTGAGCCAGCATCCACCCATAGTCTGAGGAAAGAAACCCCTCATCGGAGGATGCCCCCACAAAGGGAAGCGCAGGGCAGCTCCGCGGACTCCCTGTGCTTGGCCCAGGCTCTGTGCAGGGAGGTGCCATGGAGCCTCCTGACACAGGACTGAAAGGGTCATGATCTCCTGACTCCTCTCTCAGAAACCCCAGGAGCCCAGCCCTGAGCCAGGGCCGCCTCTGTGGGCTGCATGGCTGGGGGCCATGGCAACATGGTGCTGAGACCCATGCCGTGGGAGGGAAGTGTCCTGGGAGTGTAGGGGGACAGGTGGCATCAAGATCCGTCTGCGAGGAGCATTCTTTCCTTAAGGAGCATGGCAGAGTCTAGCACCATCTGGGACAAGAAGGAAGGGGTCTGAGAGGGATGGTTCCCCTTCAGCTTCTAGAGTCAACTGGGACGGGGAAGCCGGGGCCGGAACAACGGTACCCGTCATTGGGAGGACAACGCTGCTGCCACCCACCCTCTGCAGTTAACCGCCTCACTCGGGGAGGAGGCCAGAGAGACACCTTGTCCCGAGGCTGCGAGGGTGCTGACGCCCCTTCTCTTCCACCTCATGTCTTCGCCCAGAGGTTGCCGGCTTGAAGAAGATGGGGCTACAGTACCTTCCCAAGGCATTTGAGATCAAGCTTTTCATTCTTGTCAGAAAATACAGTTTTCCTGGTGCTTGGCCCCAGGCCTGCACCTACCGCACCACCCTTTCCCGATCCAACTGTGGGCCCACCAGCTGCATTTTCAAGATGGCGGCACCACATCTTAGGCCACATAAAGTCCCACGCCCTCCTACGTGAGCAATGGGATGCCTAAGGCTCACCTCCCGGTGCACGGAGGACCACACTCACACGCACGTCCCTGGACTGTAATTTACAGTCGTTCGCCACCCAAGAAAGGGCAACAGACTCCCAAGCCTGGGCTCCGTGGGTGCAGGAAGACCCAGGGGAGGACGGTCCGGAGGAGCCGTCTACCAGTCACCCCATCATGCCCGGAGGGGTCTGGCATCCTCGCGAATGCGCACTCGGACGTGAAGCTCCAAGGCAGAGGGGGGCCTGACCCCGCTGCAAGTTCCTCTTCATCTGCCCATCTTTCTCCCCCCAGGTTCTGGGAAACCTTCCCCGAGCGCCCCCTCCCCACCCCCGGGGGTCAGGAAGCCTCACTAGGAACGCAAAGCCTGCACTTACTTGTTACTCGACCCGTAACTGTCAACGGCCAACGACACTGAGATGACGCAGATCACCAGAGGAGAACCTGCAGAGAGCAGCGCGGACCAAGTGTCAGCTGCAGGGCAGCACCACGGCCGGGGCCCAGAGCAGCTCCTCTCCTCCAAGAACTTGGTCTGGACAGGGGCCTCACGCCACACCCACATGCATGCACACAGTGCACACCCACGTGCATGCACACACATGCCTCGCTAACATATATGCACACGCACACACTCACACAATAAGCATTCTCACACTTGCGCACTCACGCGTGAACCCTTGCTTGAATGTTCTGCATGAGGACCTGCTGTGTCTGTTGGGATGAAGACACACAGAGCCAGGTACAAAGAGAAGGTCCACCCAGGTGAGATGCGGCAGCCCCTGGGAGCCAGCACCGCTCAGGCCACCTGTGGCCAGCGGTCCAGTCTGGACCAGGAGTTGGGGCACAGGTAACACTGCCTCTGTGGGTGGGCACGCGGTTTCCTCCCCTTTAACAGGGCACTCACCTCCCCCTGCAGCCTGGGCACTGAGCTCTGCTCTGGCCGCCCGGGAATGCACAGCGGAGAGTTGAGAAGGTGCAAGTAAGTGTGACCGTCTTGACTTAGGCCCGGTGCCAGTTCTGAGCGGCAGGCAAAGGAGGCAGCTCAAGTTCTCATAATAAAATTAATTAAGGGAAAGCTGGCGGGAAGATGGATGGAGGTGTGGGGCTGCCAGGACCCAGTCCAGCAGGCCTCTGGCTGCACTCGGCTTCCACCAGGGTCCCAAACTCAGACCCCAGGGGGCTGCTGTGGAGGTGCCAAGACACCAGCCCCTGGCAACACCGCCATGCACAAGCACTGCCCAGCTCCTGGGTTCACCACATTCCAGAGGAGCGTCCTGACTGGTTGTAAATCTCTCAATGCTTAAGGGCTGCCAAGCACGCATTTCTCTCTCCAGTATTCTGCAGAGCAAACAATCACCTCCCCAGTTTATGGGCAACGATGACCAAGTGGGGCTTTCACTGATGCAGTCGTGTGTGCTGTGTGTGTGCACGCGCTCGCTCGTGTGTGCCATACGGCCACATCCCTAAAGAAGCCAGAAACCACAGTGGCTGGCTGCCTACCATCCTGTAAATGCTTACTAAACGGGGCCACAGATCAGAGCAAGGCACCCCTTCCTCGCTGGGCAAGTTGGGGAAGAATACACAGGTTGGGAGGGTGGGAGAGTGGGAGATACCCAGGGCCTGGGCTCAGGTGAGTGGGTTGACAAGCACCATGGGCTTGTTTCCACCAGGGGTCAGTGGGGACTTCATGAGGCTTTTCCGCAGGGCGGGCATGGTGGCCCCAGGGTGAGTCTCCTCCTTGTGTCCCAGGAATCCTGGGTAGGGAGTGTGTGTGATTTGCCCCTCTCTGCCCTTGGGCCGACGGCACTTGCAGCCAGATGTCCTCCTCTGTTCCTGCACCCGAAGAAGGTGAGGACACAAGCGGCTAGCCAGTGGCCGCAAGCACGTGGCAGGTCCCGCAGCAAGGGCATGGGCACCGTGCCGGGGTCCGTTCCCAGGCAGCAAGCTCCCTGCCACTCCACAGGGCCAACAGGGACTGGAGCCACCATCCAGTCGACCGGAGACAGACGTGGCAGAGGAGGAGCGGGGGATGCAAAGCCCCGCTTATGCACAGAGACAAGAGTAACATGGCAGAGGCGGATCCAGTGGTGCCAACGACCACGCTCCACGCGACAGGGTTCAACAGTGGGATTAAAGACCAGAGAGGGTTCCAGTTTCTTTCCTTTAAATCCAGTCATATGCTGTCTGAGGATCCCTGGTGGCATAGTGGACTAAGCAATGGGCTGCTAGCCAAAAAGTCAGAGGTTCAAAACCACCAGCTGCTCTGTGGAAGAAAGCTGAGGCTGTCTGGGTCCATGAAGATTTACAGAAGTTCTGCTCTGCCTGGCAGGGTGGCTGTGAGTCGAAATCAACTGGAACGCACTCAGCAGACATAACACATGCTGACTTCAGGTGACACAGCCAACATCCAGAGCTACAAGTAAGTGGAAGGTGAAATCGTGACAAAAGGTGTTAGGAACGTAGGTGTGTTCCCCATAACTGAGCCTCCAAATACACGCAGCCAAACCAGGCAGAGTTGGAGGCTGAGAGGGGAGGGATCCCCCTGAGTCATGTGAAGTGGATGAAGCAAGCCGGCGAAACAACAGCAAGAAAGCAGTCTTCACAGACCCCAAGGCTGGCTGGGACACTCTAGCATCGAGAACACATTTACTTTCTCCAGGGCACACGGCACGCCACTTGTCAGGCCACAAATCAAGTGTCAATAAATGTAATGGCTGAAATCACACCGAGGAGGCTTTCTGAATATAATGGGATGGGATCAGAAATCAACAAGGGGAAGGGGATTACTAGGGGGGCTTCAAAAAAGATGGTGGTGGTGCCCGGCTATCAAAAGATATAGTGTCTGGGGTCTTAAAAGCTTGAAGGTAAACAAGCGGCCATTTAGCTCAGAAGCAACAAAGTCCACATGGAAGAACACATCAGCCTGTGTGATCATGAGGTGTCGAAGGGATCACTGAAGACAAAATGGGTGCTTAAGCAAATGTGGCGAAGAAAGCTGATGGTGCCCGGCTATCAAAAAGTATAGCGTCTGGGGTCTTAAAGGCTTGAAGGTAATCTAGCGGCCATCAAGCTCAGAAGCAACAAAGCCCACATGGAAGAAGCACACCAGCCTATGCAACCACGAGGTGTCGAAGGGATCAGGTATAAGGCATCATCAGAACAAAAATCTTACCATAGTGAATGATGGGGGGAGTGTGGAGTGGAGATCCAAAGCCCACTAGTAGGCCACTGGAGATCCCCTTGCAGAGGGGTCTCGGGGAGGAGATGAGCCAGTCAGGTGCGATGTAGCAACAATGAAAACTACAACTTTCCTCTAGTTCCTAAATGTTTCCTCCCCACTCCCACTATCATGATACGAATTCTACTTTGCAAGTCTGGCTAGACCAGAGGATGTACACTGGTACAGATAGGAACTGGAAATACAGGGAACCCAGGGCGGATGATCCCTACAGGACCAGTGGTTTGAGTGGTGAAACAGGGAGGGTAGAGGGAGAGTGGGTTGGAAAGAGGGAACCGATTACAAGGAACTGTATGTGACCTCCTCCCTGGGGGACAGACAACAGAAAAGTGGGTGAAGGGAGACGTTGAACAGGGCAAGATATGACAAAATAATAATTTATAAATTATCAAGGGCTCATGAGGGAGGTGGGAGCGGGGAGGGAGGGGAAAAATGAGGACCTAATGCGGGGGCTTAAGTGGAGAGGAAATGTTTTGAGAATGATGAGGGCAATGAATGTACAAATGAGCTTTACACAATTGATGTATGTATGGATTGTGATAAGAGTGGTATGAGCGCCTAATAAAGTGATTAGGAAAAAAAAAAGATCATGGAACTTTTCCATTAACTTTTTGAACCCCGGTCATCTGTGGCCATTAAACAACAGCCACTGAGAGGGGCAGACAGAGCAGGAGAAACACGAGGACAGAAAGCATCACAGGGGAAACGCAACTAAAGCAGCACCAAGAGAACAATTCATAGCTCCAGGTCCTCCACAGATGCCCTCCAGGTCTCCTGTACCAGACCGCTGCCCTACAGTGAACATCACGTGAAAGTGAGCCACAAGAATTCGCTGGCTTCCCAGTACTTACAGATACTAGACTGACATTGTGCTGCCGCCTATGAAGCGCACACGAACACGAGGAAACTGGTTTACAATATTGTGAGAATTCGCCAGCACGGGGGCACAGAGACACAGTGAGCACATGCTGTGGAGAAGTGGCCCCAAGGAATCTGCTCAGTTCAGATTGACACAAACCTTCCATCTGTTAAAGACAAAGCCACAAGGTGTGCAGAGTGCAACAAAGAAACACGTGGGACCACAGGGCCGGCCTGTGCCGAAAAAGAAGCTAGATCTCAAGCCAACGTCTGTCAGGTACTGCAGGAAGAAGAGCAAATGGAGGCCCATGCAAGTGGGAGAAAGGCAGTGATGGTCAGAGGCAGATATGAATGGAATCAGTCCAAGAAAAAACAACAGAGCAGTCAACAAAACAGAAAGCTCGTTGCTTGAGAAATCGCCGCCATATGCCCAGTCAGTGATGGAGGCAGGGATAAAATTTTGCCAGGTGGGTGGGGTTGGGGTGAGATCTGGGCCACCAGGCAGCCAGTTTTCCTTTCCATCCTAGCCTCAGAGGCTCCAAGGTCTCACTCTACAAAGGTCAAGTGCACGAACGGTAACTAAAAGGCCAAACTCACTGCTACCACGTCACTGCCTACTTCTCGGGACCCAGTAGGACAGAGTACATGGGCTCTGTGGGGTTCCAAGACTATAAATCTGTATGGGAGCAAAGAGCCTCATCTTTGAAGAACAGGGGAGGTCAAACTGTTGACCTTGGGGTTGGCAGCCCCACTTGTAGCCCACTGCACCACCCAGCCTCCTCCCCAAACCACCGGAGCTTGTATTAAACAGAATGATCACAATGTGAAGCTGGCAGTAACTAGGGCCACAGAGAAGAAGCACGCCAGCCTGCATGATCCAAGAATTATAAATAATAAAATCCCAATCCAGTGGAGGGAGCAGAATCAGAGCTTACATTCTGAACACCTAGTTTGCAGAAGGCTATGGATGGTAGTGGGAGCCCCAAATCCACTTGCAGGGTCCCCACAAAACTATGGTCGGACTATATTGTGACCATATTCCAGAGATGTGCATGGCTTTGCTATCAGATCAAGAGCATGGTACAGCGATGGTGGCAAACTAGGTTAGGTTACAATGTAACACTTTGATGGCAGACTCAGTTAGGTTACAATGGAACACTTTTATCATTTGATCTCCCCTTTGACCCGCTTTATATTCCAGTTTTTAATATTTTATGCTTTCTGTTTCATTTTGTCATTTTTTATCTCTTGATTTTGTTTTGTATGTTTTTCTTTTCTGTATATGAAACAGGGTAGGTAAATCTATAAAGTCAGCAACTAGATTAATAATTACCTAGGGGCATGGCAGGGGAGGTTGGGGGGAAATGAGGGGTTAACACCAATGAATATGAGGAAGAAGACAATGTTCTGAAATCAATGGTGGTGATGATTGTACAACTCTTCTTATTATGTCTGAACGACTGAATTGTATGATGTGTGCATTCCATGCCAATCATTTGCTCATGTGAGCTACAGTCCCCGATCGAGTCTCATCTAGGTCTGCACAGTCCTGAAGGTAGTGCTTCCCTCTCTCCGACCTTCCTCCAGAGAGTTCTGCGTTCTGTTCTTTATCTTACGTCAAAGCAGGGCTTCAGCACTCTCCTTCTCAATGTTCTTTGAGTTTGGGGAACAAAAACGTCAGAGGATACATGGCCAGGGCTTTTGGAAGCATGGAGTGGCTTCCCTCCTACAATCCCAGAATGAGCAGGTACATTGTTGTGATGTGTGGGAAACAGAAAGATTTCTCCCAAGTTGTCTCCCCCAAATACATCCCAAACTTAGCTGCTTGCTACACATGGTAAATGACTGTGCACTTGGGAGGTCAACAGAAGTAGGTCAGGGGTTATTCTCCCTAAGGGTTATCAGCCATCTAGAGCAAGCAGTCACCACTGTTTATCTCACAAGTAGGACCCACTCTCTTCTGATAAGGATAGTAGTTGACTGTTTCCTTGTAGGAGACCCCAGAGAGGTCAAGCCCACCCAAGGGTGACCAAGGTTAGGCTGCCATCATGAATCTAGGGTCCACCCATCTTGTCACATGTATACCTCTAGTCCCTCCCCTTCCTAGCATGTGTACACCCCTAGCTCATCCCCTTCCTGTCACACTTATGCCCATTGTACATCCCCTTCCTATGATGTGTATGCCTATGGTACTGCCCCTTCCTGTGACGTGTGGTTACCTGTAATCACGCCCCCTGAGGAGCTGTGACCCTGGGTTAGCAATAAAGCTGGGCTCTCCTCTCACGTCTCCCCATGAGGACCATCGAGCAGGGCTGAGGTGAGCATGCTACCATGAATTGTGTCTGCCTCCATGACTTCAGTCTCTCTCCTATCTCTCATGCTCTCCACGACTTCACTATAATCGTTCCTTATCATCGCCGTACAATTGCGCCTACTGGACCCGTGATGATGGTTGGGGGCCCTCCTTTCCCCCACCGTGATGGGAAGTCCTCTGAGCAACTCTCCTCGCCCTTTTCCTAGTGATGCAGTTTAACATTTTCCTTTAAAGTCCTCATCAGCCTCTGGGTTTGTCCTGTGTTCTTTGAGAAAATCTACCAAGACGCCGCCTTTGGATTTCAAAGAAAGGGTACACAACCTTCTGAGCTGACGTCTTCACCTTGGATCAAATGGACCCCTTTGGAAGGCACTGCTTTAATCCTTTTAAAGGCACCAAAGGGACTCAGATGGAGAGAACTTGTCTGCAGCCTCCACTGATCACAGAGACACAACCCACCGCATTTTGCTGGGATTATTCCCATGACCCTGAAGCCATGCCCTGAGGGAGTCATCCCCCTGAGTGAGCCAAGCCCCCTGAGGGAACTCTCCCTTAAGGGACTCCCCCACCAGGGACCATCCCCCTGAGAAACCATCCCCCTGAGGGACAATCCCCCTGAGGAACCATTCCCCCCAGGAGCCATACCCCTGAGGGATTAGCCCTCTGAGAAACCATCCCTCTGAGGGATGATCCCCCAAGGGACCATCACCCCCCTGAAGGAGCCATCTCCCCCAGGGACCCTCTCCCAGGTGCCCTGTGCTCACCCACCTACCCCACCCGATGCCGTAGTAGTACAAGTGCTTGCTGTCCTCGGAGCCGAAGACCTTGATGACCATGCTGTAGAGGTGAAGGCCCTCCACCAGCATCCAGGTGAAGGCACTCAGGAAGAAGTAGTGCAGGAGCACAGCCAGAGCCTGGCACGCGGCCTGTAAGGAGATACAGGGCATGAGCAGGCGCTTACAGGGGCCAGTCCCCTGCACCCCCCCACAGGAGGACACAGCCAGGACTCATCCTTTCTGGGGAATCACTGCTCCCAGCCCACCCAGCACTAAGCAATGTGGGTGGAGCAGGCAACATAGATTGGCAATTACTGCAGGTCCTCAGGCCCAGCAATTGGTCCAGGAGAGGCAGGGGTATCAGGCTCGGCCAATCAGCACAGAGTTGCTTGCAGACCTTTTGATCTTACAAAGAGCAGGGATCTGAGGGGACCAGTGCTCATGCCAGTGTGTTCACCCATGTGTGTGCACACGTGTGCATGCAATGTGAGAATGCTGGTGTATGTGTGCATGTGTACACACATGCACACATGTATGGGGATAATGAATGTGGTGGGAGTGTGCATGTGCTCATGTACATGCGTGGGTGTACACGAGCACAAGCATGGACATGTGTGGATCTGTGTGCATACTTACATGAGTGTTCGTGCATGTGTGCACACACGTGTGTGGGTGGTGGTGGTGAGAGATGACTGCTTTTGAGTCCTGCTTTGTCCCCAACCCAAGGATGTGCTGGGACAGGTGGGGAGCTGCCTGCCAGTGGTGAGGGGAGGGACACCGCTGCAGACTGGTGAGCTGGGTGCTTCATGAATCCCGCTGCAACTGTGAGGGTACACCCTCCGCTGCAGGTGGGCAGCTGGCATGAAGGGGGGGTCAGGCCTCCACGGCCCAGGGGCAGCAGGCAGGGGGAAGGGGTATAGGCTGTGTGACCTGCCGTGGGGCCTCTGGTCAGGTTCAGTGGCTGTGCTGGTGCAGTGCTCAGCTCAGGGTCAGTGCAGCCACATGTTTGAACCCTAGCTGAGCACCTCAACCCCTAGGCTGTTAGAGGGAAAGAGATGCCCTGCCCAGACGGGCTCCCTGGCATATTGCCTGCCTTCTAAGTCAGAGAGCCCCACAGAAGGTGCCCCCTCCTCAGGCCACTGGGGGAAGGCGGAGGGGAACGTGGCCGAGGGGACTAGCCCACTCACCGTGCCCGGCTGGAGCTGGAAGCTGACGAGCAGGAGCACCTGGGCCACTAGCACGGCGAAGGACAGGTTGGCGTGGATGTGGTAGCGCTGGTTCCTGATAGTGCTGACAGAGCTAAAGGCACAGGGGCGTGAGGCCCAGCCTGGGCGCACCCTGCTCCTGGCCCTCAGCTGCTTTGCTCCCAGGGGTTCCGGCTCGCTGGCCCTCCTCCACCTGCGTGTCTGCCTACAGCCTGCTGCAGCCTCAGGGCCTTTGCAGCTGCTGTTCTAGGCAGACTCCTGGGCAGGATGTCTTCCCTCATGGGCCAGGGAACTGACCCATGTCTGGGACCCCTCTGGACCCACGTCACCATGCTTCGGTCTAGAGGCTATGGTGGGTGTCCTGGGCTTTCCCCGCTCCCCCATCCTCTCAGCACCCTCTCCTCTTCAGATCCCCAGGCTAACAGCACTGACCCCTGAGAGACTCCTGAGGGGAGGCAAGGCCTCTGACAGCTGGTGGGGTGAGCCATCACGGGGCCGCGGAAGCCCACCCCTCCTGGGCCGGGCAGTGGGGACTCACGAGAGGACAGCAAAGGTGGCCAGCGTTGCGGTCAGGCAGAGCACGGACACGGAGCAGCCGATGTAAGTGATGGCCGACAGCGCCACCTGGTGTCCCCACGCCAGCTGTGCGGGGGCAGGGCGCGAGTCAGGGCAGGGAGTTTAAGGCCTGATGGTGAGGCAGGTGCTGGAGGGGTCGGGGTCTGAAGCCACAGTGAGTACACCAGCCCTGAGGGTCATGATAGATGGGGGACCCCATATCCTGCCTCCAGACCCCAAACGCCCGGCCCTGGCACCAACAGAGGCTATTCCTTAGAGCTCCAGGCCCACCTTGGGGCTACTGTGCATGCCACCCTTTGGGACCCTGCCTGTGAGTCCCTCATCTGGACTGCAGCTGACACAGCCATCAGCAGGGTTTACCAGGGGGCCCCAGAGCCATGTCTCCTGGCTCACATCATGCCCCACTGCCTGCACCACATACTGTGGGGTCTCTGCCCAAGGAGCCCACTCCTAAGAGGAGGCCCCTGATGGCACTCACCCCCCAGGGGCAGGCAGCACTGACTGAGGCTGGGCAGGTTACAGAGTGGGGGACCAGGCGGGCCCAGAACTGACTTCCAGGGGTGTGTATGTGTACGTGGTGCACAGAACAGCTGTGGACAGCATCAATGCTACTCCCCATCCCCAGACCCCTCAAGTCAGCCCCAGCATCGCCCCACCCCTCTTCCCAGATCCCCTGGGTTAGCCCTGATCACTGCTGCAGCTGCTCCCCTCACCCTGCCCATTCCAGGACTCCCTGGAGGTCATCTCCCATCACTGCCCGCCCCCTAATTTCAGGAACCCCTGTAGGTCATCTCCTTTCACTGCTGCAGCTGCCCCCCCCCCATCCCAGGACCCCCCTGGACAGCAAGCCGACCTCCTGTGACACAGTGATGCCGCCTGAGGCATCTCGGCCCTCTGAGACCAGGCGGGCCGTTTCTCCACTCCCTGGTTCTCTAATCTGTGCAATGGGGTCCATCTGGAGTGGCCCTCCAGAGGATTAAACATATCTTGGGCTGCAGGGAGAACAGACAAGACTGCGTGGCAGCTGTACAGCCGGGATCCTCTGTGGTCAAGGATTTAATTTTGCCTGCACCCACAGTCGGCGCTCATGGAAGCAGCAGGCAAGAAATCAAGCAACACGGCGGCGCTGTGTGCCTCTGCCGCACAGACCTCTCTAAAGTCTTCACGAGCAATGGCGCTGCACGAGGGCTGACCTGACAGCCGGCTTCTCAATCGCTTCATATGCATGAGAAAGCGGGACAGTGAATAAGGGAGATCAGAAAAGAATTGATGCCTTTGAATGGGGATGTTTGTGAAGAATGCGGAATGTGCCTGGACTGCCAGAAGAACAAACAAATCTGTCTTGAAGAAAGCACTGCCAGAATGCTCCTGAGAAGCAAGGATGGAAAGACTTCGCCTCGTGTACTCTGCACAGAGAAGAGGAGGGGCAGCCCTGGGGGAGGATGGTGGGCCTGGTCAGGTGCAGGGGCAGCAGAGCGAGGAAGGCCCCTGGGAGATGCACTGCATCAGGGGCTGTCACTGTGGGCTCAAATAGGGCAGGGTGAGGATGGCGCAAAACTGGGCGGAGTTTCCTCCCAGGGTGCGCTGGGTTGCCCCAAGGGCGCTCATCACAGAAGGGAGGACTGCAGGGTCGAGGGGACATCAGCTGGACCGCTTCTCCCTTGTCCAGCTGTGGGGCTGGGGGCCCAACTGCCCACCTGTCTGGCCTCCATTGCCTCACTGTCCTGGTGAGGGCAGCAGTGCCTGCCTCACAATGCTTGAGGCTGGCGGGGGCTAGCTGTGGGGGTGCAGCAGGTCATGGGGTAGGGAACAGGGGCCCGGAGCCCACTGCCAGGGAGCAGTAGACCATGAGGTGGGGGTGGGCAGCAGGTTACCCCGTGTGTGGCTCCATAATCACTGTCCTGGGAGCCCTGGACGCTGCCCTCCCACCCGCCCAGGAAGGCGTGGGGAACCCTGCACCCCTCCTCCCGGGCCACAGCCAGAATTAGAAACAGCGGGAAAGGCCCAGAGTTCGTTTTAGGACATGAGGCCTCTGAGCCAGGGGCGTGAACTCAAGTGGCCCTGGGAGGACCTCCGAGAAGTTGGAGGCCGCTGGACACCTGTGGCTCTGTTCATGAGAAACCGTTCCTTTGCGGGCGGCGCTCACTGCGCTGCCCCTCACGCAAAGCCAGAATGAGCGTGAGGGCGAGAAGGAGGGGTAGGGGGCACCATAGTGGGCGCCCCATCAGTGGGCCTGGCAGCAGTCTGTGTGTGACAGAGGCAGTGAGGGTCTGAGAGACACAGATGGACAGGGAGCTCCCCCATGAGGAGTTGGCTCCCTCACAGGGAGGGGCAGCAGGGCTGGGGGCAGAGGGCCTGCAATGGGCTGGAAAGCTCAGAGGTGTGGACCTTCCCTCTGGTCCTCTCAGCCCGGGCAGCTCCCAGTACCTTCAGCCCAGACTGCAAGGCTGGGGTGCTCCAGGAAGCTCCCTCCTTACAGAGAGAGATTTAGATGGAAGAATAGCAGAGAGCTGGATAATACATACATATAAGTACATGCATGCATACATATACACACACACACACATAGACACGAGCAAGCTGGATACCTGTGTATGCATGTGTACACATATACACACAGACATGAGCAAGATGGATACGTACATGCAAGCATACATAATATATGCACACAGACATGAGCAAGATGGATGTGTACATGCATGTGTATATATGTACATGCATGCATGCATATATACACACACGCACAGACCTGAGCAAGATGGATACGCACATGCATGTGTACACATATACACACACAGACGGGCAGGGGTAAGTCAAGAATGGCTCCTAGGATCTCAGTGCATACACGCACGGGTTCATTTCAGACAAAACCTGTCTGTGCCATGAGTGGAACCCCCAGAGGCGTGGCGGCTACATGCTGGGCTGGAAGCGCCAGCCGCTCTGTGGGAGAAAGGTGAGCGAGTTACAGTGGCAGGACTCGCAGGGGCAGTTTCCTCGAAAGGACTTGGTGGCAGTTGGGTTGGGTTTGGTTTCTACTGCAGGCAAGTTCTCTCAGTCACACACTGGCCTCAGTCTAGAGACGCAAACAAACTTACTGCCATGGAGCCAATGCCGACTCAAAGCCGCCCTCCAGGACCAGGCAGAACTGCCCCTGGGGGTTCCTGCGACTGGGACTCTTCACAGGAGTAGAAAGCCCCATCTTTGTCCCAAGGAGCTGCTGGTGGTTTTGAACTGATGACCTTGCAGTTACTCGCCTAGCAACGTAACTGCAATGCCGCCAAGGCTCCCAGGGACGGCCAGGGAGAGGGGACTCTCGCTCTCAACATTGCACAGCCCCAGGCAGAGGGTCTGTGGAGAACACGGGCTTCCAGTCTGGTGTTTGCTCCATCAGGTCACTGTGATTTTGTGGGGCTGCTTTGAGACACCCTTGCACAAGCGTGAGAAGCAGCAAACATAAAGCAGGCAGACGACACCTCCCCCACCCCGACTTCTCAGCTGCCCCCATGTGTGTCACTTATCGGGCAGGGACACAGAGACTGCCGCCTCCCTCAGGCCTGCCTTGGCTGGGATGGGGCCCTTCCCTCAGTAAATACAGAGCTCTGAGCTCCGCCAGCCCCTCCAGGTCAGAACCCAGGTAGGCGCCTTCTGCACCTCTCTGTAGATCCAGGACTGGGCCCAGAGGCAGCCAGTCACCCCATCAGTGCCCCGGCCAGCGGGAGGGCAAGAGAGCCCACCCAAGAGCCCCTACCCCAACCCCTGGTCAATGTGGGCAGCATGGGGCAGGCTCTTTCTAAATGATCCTGTCCGTCAGGAGCCGGGGCTGCTGGGGAGGGAGAGGCCGTGGATCGATGGATCCACCGATCGATGGCAGGTGCAGGGTTATTTCATGTTGAGCGGGAAAGAAAAACTGAGGGGGGAACGTGGGAAAGAATGCCAACCACCAGTTAACCCCCAGTGTACTGGTGACAATTTTGGAGGTGGTAAGCTGGGGTGAGGTGCAGCAGTCCACGGTCCTGGACGGTGTGTGGCAGGGACCGTGCCCTCCTCGTGTGTCCACAAGGCCTCCTTTCCAGACGGTGCCTGTCAGGAGACCCTGCTGTCCTCAGTGGCTTTACAACTCGGAGGACAAGGCCAGGGGGCAGCAGACAAGGGAAGGGAAAGGGACCCGCCAGAGGGGAATGATAAGGACGTCCACGCTTGTGGGGAGGGTGGACCAGGGTCCAGGGCAGTGGTAGGGTTGAAGGTTGTGTGACCCTTCACCACAGACATGCGCAGGGCATGGGGAGGGCAGGACAGTGCCCCAGGCAGTGGAGACATCTGCCACGTGTGGTCCCCACAGCCTCATGGGGGTCCTCCAGGAACAGATGGTACAGGCTTAGTTGGAACTGGGTGCTGGGCACCCACGTGGTCTTGCCTACCTGCCTCAAGTCCTCCCCCAGGTGATGTGTGTGTGCCTGTGTGTGTGTGCATGCATATGCATATGTGAGTGAGGGGCCTGGTGGGGGAGTGTGACAGAGGACCAGGAAGACTGGTGGCGGGGGTGGGGTGGGGGGTGGGTGTCTGTCCGAGAGGACACAGTGTCCGGTCACCACCAGTCAGGGCCTCTGGTGAGCTCTCAGAGCCCAGCAAGGGCTGGGCAAGGCCAGGAGACCCTCTCAGTGCTCATGTTTCCTGTTGGCACAGACATGGAAGCCATCTTTCCTGCGGACCAGGGAAAGTGTTTATAAACACTGTGCACAAATGTTTACCTGCAATTGCACCAATCCCAGGCATGCCCCACTTCATATGCCCTGCTCTGCGGGGCTGGCAGAGATTGTGGGGGTAGGCTTCTATGTGTGTGTGTGTAAGCCCTGCCTCGAGCCAGCCGGCCTATCCAGAGTCCCGACAGCACAAGCTCTGTGCATCTACGTCCCAGGCTGTCGGCACCCTGGCCACATGTTGCCACCATGCTGTTGTGCACAGAGGCCCTGGGGGCTTAGTGGTGGCTGGTTGGGCTGTGAACCACAAGGCCAGCAGTTTGAAACCACCAGCCGCTCCTCAGGAGAACAATGGGGCTCTCTACTTCCGGAAAGAGTTACAGTCTTGCAAACTCACGGGAGTGTGGGGGTGGTTTGAGTCAACACTGAGTTTGGTGTGGGAGCTGGCTGTGCACGTCGTCGCAGACAACGGCAGCCTGTCCACCTCATTTTGGGAGGAGTCAACCTGGACAAGTGCCATCTGCTGAGGAGGAGACAGACAGGAGGCTGTGGGGTGTGGCCAGGACCAGTGTGTGTGGTGACATCGGCTCTTGACAGGCATGCACACAGCCCACTGGGCCACAGTCACGGGTGTCCCCTCTCTGTGCCACACCCACCCCGCACCCACACAGCACAGACGGGATATGACAGGCGGGTGGAGCCCCCTGGGGGTGCTCCTGGCAAAGGGGGCCCTCAGGAAGGCCTCACGCACAGAGCTCCTCCACAGGGGCTGTCACCCGAGCCTGCCCAGGTCCCTCAGCCCACGGGGCACCTTACCTCCAGAGGGACCACCTGCATCAGGATGGCGAAGTTGGTGAGGTGGGTACAGTGGCAGACGGAGTAGCTGAGGTTCCCCTCAGTGAGGGTGCAGCCCTCGTTCGACCAGACACCTTTCCCGGAGCTGCAGACACATGGGGAAAGGTCAGCAGACCTGGCTGGCAGGGGCTGGACTAGGGGGTGCTGTGCCTGGGATGGGCACTGGGAGTCCGAGCCTGTAGTGTTCTGTTTTGCAGAAGAATGAGGCATCGATTGTATCATTTCATGGCATGTCAGCTCCGTGGAGGGCCGGGGTGGGGTGGGGAGACCCAGAACTGGAAGCTCAGTGAGACTCTCCAACAGGCAGGAGAATAGACTCGCGCTGACAGGGGACGCCGGGATTCTGGCCAGTGTCCTGCACCAGCGGGCTAAGGGGACATGACACCAGCAGACAGGGGGCTGTACTGGGAGGAGTTTCTGTAAAACTGTCACCGTCATCGTCGTCATTTCTGTCACTAGGGGCCATGGGGTCAGTTCCAACCCACAGCGACCCTATGCTCAGCGAGCAAAGCACCGCCAGTCCATGCATCCCCACGCTGCTCCAGGCCCGAGCCAGTGGCTGCAGCCATGGTGTCCACCCAGCTTGTTGAAAGGCTTCCTCTTGTTTTGCTGCCTGCTCCTCCCTGGCCCCCCAACTTTACCAAACAAGATGTTCTTCTCAAGGGACTGGTCCCTACATAGAACTGGAGGATAGAATTTCAGAATCTTTGTGGATGAAACACAAAGAAATAATCAAAAAGCCAAAAGACTCCCTGCCGCTGAGTCGACTCCCAGCAACCCTCCCAGAGCAGAGTCGCACGGCTCCCATGAGCTCCTGAGCCTGTCCATCATCACAGGGTAGAACGCCTTGCCTTCCTCCTGTGGAGGGGCCGGTGGGTTTGAACCACTGATCTTGCGGTGAGCAGCAGCCCACATCTTAATGCAGTGAGCCACTGGAGCGCTCCACAGAGACGAGACGCGCTGGGGGTAGATGAGTGGGCGCAGACGTGCAGCACTGGGTGCCGGCTGTGTTCTTCTCATGCACACGTGTCGCAAGGTTTCTGTCTGTGTGCATGCACGTGAGTGTGTGTGTGTGTGTGTGTGTGGCCTGCTGGCAGGATGGTGTGAGACGAAAGGAGCCCCTGGGAGAGGCTGTCCCGGGTGTTCCAGCTGGTTCAGCATTCGCCATTACTTAGAGCCGCCCACCGTAGGAAGTAGTCCAGACATCCCCTCCTGGAGAGCAGGTCACCAGAAGATGCCACATCCGCCGCTGTGAAGCAGGACTCAGGGGCATGAAGAAGGAGAACAGTGGGTGGTGCCTGTGGGAGGAGCCAAACGCCTCCCTGTGGCTGCCAGTGTGGTGGAGCGGGGAGACCGGGGACCCGAAGTGAACACTGAGTCCATGACATGGGCTCCAGACACCCTCCCTCACACCTGTGGGTGGGCCTTCGGGAAATGGAGGTGCTAGCGGGTCTGAGCAAGGGGCCACGGGATCTCAGTGGAAACTCCATTTTCAGGTAGGACGCTCCATTCCATGCTCAGGAGGAAGCCACTGGGCCCCACTCCTCACCAGAGTGCGGCTCTGGGGTAACAGGGACAAGCACGGCCCTGCACCTTCCACACAAGATGAACACCTGTTCAGCGCTTGTTACACCTGCCACCTGTCGCTGCTCCTCCAGTCTCCAGGTGGATGGCTGAGCCAGGTACGCAATGCTTCCCATTTCCAAGGCCTCAGATTAGAGCTGATTCCACTCTCTCCTCTTCTTGACCAAAGCGGCCGCTTTCCCTTTCCAGGATCGATCTACTCACAAGGTTGGTGGTTCAATCTCACTCATTGCTCCGTGGGAGGAAGATGAGACTGTCTACAGTGGTGAAGACGGACAACTTCGGACACCTACATGGGCCTCTCCTGTCTGTCTGACAGGGTCACTAAGGGTCAGAACGGACTCCACCGCTGTTCTATTCTGCACTACAGGGTCACTTAGCGTGTCGGCTGTCAGCTCTTGGAAAGATCGACAGCCTGGGAAACCCATGGGGCTGTTGGACTCTGTCACACAGGGTCACCGTGAGTCAGGATGGACTAGACAGTGGTAGTTTTGGGGTTTGGTCAGTTCCTCCCTTACCCACCCCTCTTCTCTCTGGGGGAAACTGTCTCTCTTGGGTTGCTTTACCCAGTACAGACTGTCCCTCCAGCAGGGCAAGATGCTGGCAGACGCCCTTACACCAACAGTCTGATGCCCTCCCTGAGTCACGTCCTGGCAGCACCATGTGCCCGCATGTCCCCACTACCCAGGGCCAGTGGTACCTGAAGTTCAGGAAGGCGCAGTAGTAGAAGACGCGGTGGCTCTGGTTGTTGGCCTGCAAGTGCTGCTTTCGCGTCTGGAATGGAAGAAGACTGGAAGTCACCATGAATCTGAAGCACCCCAGGGGCAACACGGGGGTGGGGCGGGCAAAGGCCCTGGCTTTCCTCCTCAATCCCGGATGTGGCCTGTGAGGGCTCCCGCCAGCCATTCCTGACCTGCTGCTCCGCTGGAGGCCCCCGGCCAAGTATGACCCCTGCTCCCTCGCTTGGCCCGCTCAGCCACCATCACACAGCCCGTCTGCAGGGCAGGTGAGCCCCAGCTTCCTCCCCAGGAGCCCCAGAAAAACCCAGAGTGGGTCCAGCTCCAGGACCTCCTAGAAAAGACCAAAGTGAGAGCCGGCGATGAGGTGGGTGCCTGTCGGGCTCAGGAGGGGGAAGAGGAACATCTGAGGGCAGGGCATGTCTTGGGCAGGGGTGCACACGGGACCCGGAGTGCCGTACGGGGAATATGGAGGGACTTCAGGAGACCATCCAGGTTGACCAGACTCAGGGAGACCCTGTGTGTGTGTGTGTGTGTGTGTGTGTGTGTAGTAGAACTGTGCTGGGGGGGAGGGGCGGGGAGAGGGTTTCCATCGGCTGGCTTCTCCGGCCCAGACTACCAGGCCTTTTAACAACGGGGCTTCCGGATAGACCTTTCAGTGACAGTTGAGTGCTCACCAGTGGGTGCCACCAGGGACTCTGGCAAGGGTTGTTCTCACTGCCATCAAGTTGTTTCTGACTCATTGTGACTGTATAGGACAGGGGAGAACTGACCCTCTGGGGTTCAGAGACTCATCTTTCTCTGTTGGACAGACCAGCTGGTGGTTTCAAACTGGTGACCGTTTGGTTAGCAGCCGAGCATGAAAACCATTCTGCCACCAGGGACTCCTTGCAAGGGTTATTAGCCGGGAAGAAACCGTCACATCCAGAAACCACAAGGTCAATAATACAAAGGCAGCCTCATGGCCACAGCCCTGCACCTGGGGCTGGGGGCGCTGAGGCCACCTTGGGCCCAGGCTGACACAGAACCTCTAGAATATGACGAGCGTATCTTAAAGGCTCACCAAGAGCCCAGAGGGGCTGCAAAAGCCAGAAGCCGGATGCACTGAGGAGCCCCAGCTGGAGGCAGAGCAGAGGCCGAGTGGCCCCAGGGGACCCCAACACCTGGGCTCCGGATCTGAATCACTCTTCCATGGCAGAAACATGAACTTCAAAGCCCGGGGTATGTGTGGTCTGGAGTGAAAGAGGCACAGAGAGCTCAAGGGGGCCTGGCTGCGATGGACGGCCTCGGCCACCGGGCCCCGCCCCCCCCCCCCCCCCCCCCTCCTGAGGCTCTACCCTGAGTTGGAGGGCGGCCGCTCCTTAGGGCTCAGTCTCTCCACAGCCCCCCAAGTGGGGGTGTCCTGATGTGGGACACTAGAAAAACAGTGAAAGAAGCCAGGCTCACTGGTCTGACAGAGGCTGGTGGAACCCCAGACGGTGGCCCTCACTTACCTGCAGGCCTGGACCTGAACTCATACGCAGGTCCAACTTTCAGCCAAATGGCAGCCAGGACTATGAGAGGGCAGTCACACCAGGAAGAGGCAATCTCCTTAGAACAATCAACCCCAGGAGACCAGGAGGTCAGCATGTACCCAGAGGGTGCCAGAGGCAGGAAGGACAGGAGCAGCCATGTACCTCAAGATCTGGAACCAGGATACCCCCAAATACACGGCAACTTGACGGGGCCATGATTCTTAGAATGTGATCTGATGTAATTATCTTGTGCATTATAAATCCTCACCTCTACGATGCAAATGAGGAAGGATTAGAGACAGCTGGGTAAATGGGACAGGAGGCTGTCTACACCAATACGCTGCATCTTTAGTCAATATCCTTTGAGACATAAATGAAATTAAACGATATAGTCACTGCAAATCCCCTTTTTGACTGACTATACATGTGGACTTGGTCAGATGGAATACTCAGGCACGAAATCTACCACCGCTCTGGAAAGCGGTAATTGGGAAGCTGGATATCGTTAGTCAAAGCAAGGCCGCGGCCAGCTGCAGAACAGCAGATCAGTGTCTCAGAAGCAGGTTCAAGTAGAAGAGGAATAAAGAATGCAAGCCCAGGAGCGCCAGCATACAACCTGCGTGTGTACCACCTGCACTCAGAGCCTGTCTCAAGAACAGCTCTGACTCACAGAGCACTGACGATTGGATCCCTGACGAGCTATGGGATGACAGCAAGGACATCATTTAGGAAGACGCACACCCCTCTTAATATGACTGAATGATTAAAATGTAGGGTGTGTTAACTAAAGCTCAGTAAAGCTAATTTTAAAAGATAACATTCTGTATGAAGAAAGTAAAAGGTCTTTAAAAAGACAGAAAAGACCACAGTGGATTTCAGAAGAGACCGAAACTCTCTCTAGAATGTAGAGTAGCTAAAACACCAGGAAGGAGGGGAAAAAAAGAAAATGAAGCAAAAGAGCTAAGCAGGAAATGTCAACAGGCCGCTGGAGATGGCAAGGCTCCCACTGTGGTAATGCAAAGTCCTAGGGCCTGGAGCGGGAACGCCAAAAGGGAAGGGCATGCTTAGTGTTCCTCAAGCTGAAAGAACTGAAGAGAAAAAAGCCCAAGCCTTGAGTTTTAATCTTGAAAGGTTTTTTGGGGCAAAATATTGAACAAAGCAGGAAGCTTCAAAAGAAAACAGTATCAAAATTTTACCAGAAAGAATAGTTGACAGTCAAACATTTCAAGAGAAAGCATATGCTCGGGAATCAATGGTACTGGAGGGAGAATCCGGGCTGCACAGAAGCCCTGGTGGACAGCAAGGCTCCAGGAGGTGACAGCCTACCAACGGAAACATGTCAGTAGGCTGCGGACCCACCACTATCATGGATGTTACATGCAGGCTTAGTTTTTCCTTAAGATCATTCGATCATGGCTGTCATGCTATACTGACAGGGAGCTGCCAGAAATTCAAGCCAGATTCAGAAGAGCATGTGGAAAGGGGGATCTCATTGCTAATGGCAGATGGGATCTTGGCTGACAGCAGAGAACACCAGGAAGACGTTGTGTTTTATTGACTGCTGCCCAGGCATCTGACTACATGGATCTGGAAGGAACCCAGAACGAGAGAACACTGCATAGTTCAAAGTCAGGAAAGGCATGTGTTGGGGTTTGTATGCTTTGCCCACACTTATTCAATCTGTGTGCACAGCACATAATAGGGGGAGCTGGACTAGAGGCAGAAGAACGCAGTGTCAGGACTAGAGGAAGGCTATTCACAACCTGAGATATGATACAACCTTGCTTACTGAGATCAAAGAGGACTCGAAGCACCTAGGAATAAAAATTGAAGATGAACCCAGCAATATGGATTATGCCTCAATAAAATGAAAATTTTTAAAAACTTCACAATTGTATCAATAAACAATATCATGATTGATATTTTCAGGTGGAAGTTGTCAAGGACTGTATTTCACTTGTGCATACAACCAATGCCCATGGAAGCAGCAGTGGAGAAATCGCATGATGTATTGCACTGAGCAAATCTGCTGTGCAGGACCTCTGTGAAGGGCGAACGAGCAAAGCTATCACTTTGAGGACTAGTGATATTGCTAACTTCACCCAGGCATGTGAAAACTAGACAGTGAATGAGGAAAACGGAAGGAGGAAGAGGCCTTTCAGTGATGGGGTGGTTGAAGCCTCCTGATAGTGCCACAGACTGCCAGAATAGACTGACAGCCAGAGCGCTCCTTAAGAAGTGAGATGGACCCATTTCATCCCAGGTACTCTGGGTATGTTACCAGGAGGAACCAATTCTTGGAGAAGGACGTCATGCTTGGTAAAGTGGAGAGTTGGTGAAAAAGAAGACCCGCAAAGAGATGGATGGGCACGCGGGCTGTAACAATGGGCTCACACAACAATGACTGTGAAGATGGCACAGGACTGGGCAGGGTTCCCTTCTCTTGCACTTGGGGCTGCTATCAGTTGGAGGTGACTCAATGAGACCTAACAACCACCACCACCACCTCCATCATCACAACCACCACCACCACCACCACAACAGCCACCACCACAGTCACCACCACCACAACAACAACCACAACCACCACCACCAGCACCACAGAGGAGTGAACAGGGAGGAGGAACCTCAGTCCAACCACAGGAGGAGAGCTGGGAGTGGAGTGCCTCCTGGAGACCCAGGGTCCTTGAGCCGAGAAACTCCTGGACCCAGTGGGTGGCTGGTGCCAAGATACATGGAGATGTCTAAGGGACGTGAGAGGCACACACACAGATGCTGAAATGAGACATCAACCTCCCCACAAAGCCAACAGAGAGAGCGAGCTTTCCCTTGGAGCTTAAGCACTAAGTCCGCACTTCTGGTCTCCTAAACGGTGTGAGGATACATGAATCTGTGCTAAACCCACTCGCATGTGGTGCTTCTGACAGCCCATCCAGAAAACTAAGATCACGCCTTGCCTGCGTGTCTCTCCAGGACAGCCCACGTCCCTGCGCTGTGGTCCCCATGGCTCTGCCTGCATCCAGTGCTGCCTGGGTCTCCTCCCAGACCAGACAGGCTTGGAGGCCAAGACAGGCCCTGGGGCTTACAACTCCGCCTGATGCGTCCTGGTCCCTCAGGACTCGAGGCAGGCTGACGAGGTCAGGTTCTTCTCGGTCCAGGGAGGCTCCCTGCCTCCTGACGCCCACTCCAACTGCCAGTGTGCCTGTGTCAGGGCAGCAGTGGCTACCTGGGACACTGCAGGACTGATGTCCCCAGACTGCCGGGCTCAGGTCACAGGGCCTTTGTCTTTCCCTGCCCGGTGTGGGCCCTCTGGTCGGCAGGCAGAGCACTGCCCCACCTCCTGCCCCCGTACCCCACATGAACCCCCGAGATTCTAGACCTTAGCCCCTCGTGGGGCTCTCCTTACCTGAACCCCAAGTCTGAGAACAGGCATACCCCGTTCCCTCTCCCTGGGCTTACACACAGCGTCACCCTTGGGGCCAAGTGAGGGGACGCCACCAGAGAGGAAATTGCTTTGATGTCC